CGTTATTGACCAAATACTTTTGGTCAATATTTGGTCAATATTTTCCACCATATTTTGCAAATAAATTCTTTAAAAATCAGACAATGTGATTTTCTGGATTTTTTTTTCTCATTTTGTCTCTCATAGTTGAGGTATATCTATGATGAAAATTACCGGCCTCTCTCATCTTTTTGAGTGGGAGAACTTGCACTATTGGTGGCTGACTAAATACTTTTTTGCTCCACTGTAAGAATCAGCTAATCTATTAAATGTAGGTTTCTACTTACTGTAGTTTCGTTTGACATATGGTGGCTTTTGTTTTAAAAATGTGCTAAATAAATGAATAAAATTACATTATAGGGTTTTTGTTGATTTTTGCAGGTGATGGGACTGAAACTAAATCAACTAAGTTTGATTTGTTATACTATTAGAAATTAAAGTTTTACAGATGATGGGCACTAGGAATTTATTTTTTTAAACTTTTAATGTTACTTTTTTTTTTCTTCTTTTAAAGCATCCTATTAAAATAAGTTTATAGCTTTCATTGCTGTTGCTGAGTTCAGCAATCCTAACTTTTTCTCCAGAAACCTTTGTGTGTGAGGTTCCTCAGCTTCGTGACTCCTGTTGATCTTGTAAATTTAAACTTTCATCTTGGAAATCCAGAATATAACCTGCTCTTTGATAAATACTCCTGACCCTTTTAACAGGTCCTGTATCCAGACGGTCAAAGTCATGTGATCCATCCCAAACCTGCGGACTTCAGAAACCCTGGGCCGAACAGACACCGGCTTATCACTCAGGTTTACCTCTCCCACACGGCCTGGACAGGTCAGTGCAGCAAACACACAAACACTTATGTTTAAAGCACCTCAATCTAACTTGAGGTTGTCTTTGCCTGACCCAGAGCCGTCACAGGTTGAGGTGCGCCTCCTGCTGGCCTACAGCTCCTCTTCATCCTCTCCCTCTTCAAGCATTAAGTCAGGATGGAGCGACAGCATCGACGGCCTCCCACCAGCAGAGGCCGCCGTCGAAGGAACGATTCCCTTCAGCAAGCCTGTCAAAGTTTATATCATGCCCAAACCTGCCCGCCGATAACAGCCATGAGACTTCAAACCTGAACGTTTTGAAAAGCAGATGGAAATGTGTCTTTGCAGCCTGTTTTTGGAACCAATCTTCATTTAATTTGTTATTAAACATCAGAAATACAATTTCACTCAAAATCATAAGCTTCACAACATTTGTACGGACTTATGTACCGGTAGTCCTGGGAACTTGGAGTAAAAGAGACCAGAGTTCAACATAGAATTATTTTTAATGCATCTAAAAACAAAGACAATCTAAGGCACAAATCTTAATTTCTATTAAACAATTGTAATTCTTTTTTAAATAAAACACAGAAATAGCACCTGATTTAGACACTGGAGCTGCTGCAGGTTGTTAAAAATGATTTCCTTTTTAGAAGCCTGAAGCACCAGATGGTTTCAGGGCTTCATGTTTTCCTGCTTTCTCCTAAGTTTACAGAGGAGCTAAAATAAAGATCATTCAAACAGCAAGGTTTGGCGTTTCAGCCTCACCACGTACGTCTACAGTGAGGAGGAATCTGCTGGGTGAGGTGAGGGAAGGACCCTTCAGCAGGTCGAATGGAAGACGCCGCCCACCTTGGCACCTTCGGCAGCCAGTCTGTTGTATTCTTCCACAGCCTTCTGAGTCTGGAGAACTTTGACTTCAATGCCTTTCTGCTTTAAAAAGTCCAGAGTGGTAGACGGGACCTGAGAAGAGAGAACAGGAAGTAATGTTCATCTTTCTAACACCCCAGCTCAGCTCCACACATCCTATTAATATATAGTATCCTGGTTATTTTGATTTCTTTTGGCTTCTGCGGCTCAAATATTGCAGCAAATAAATCCATCCACACACTGCTGTTGTTTCACTTTGGTTCTACTGACTTTCCTAGATGCTAACAGATATTTTACAACAAGACATAATTTGTTTCAGCATATATGTAAATGCTAATATCACCAAGGTTTGCTTTGGAACATTTCCAAGGAGCTACTGAACACAACAGCACCATCTTGTGGTGAAAGTTATTATGAGCACTAGACAAATCACTCATCTTCCATGCTTTAAGTCAGAAAGCAGTTGTCTGGCATCTTTATTGACATATTTTCAGACAGTTAATCTTTCAACAAATATTGCAGCAAAACTCTGACTTTTCAAAAAAAAATTCCAAACTTTTAGTCCTAATAAAGTGCACAATAAAAAGTGGGTGCAAATTGAGAGCTGCATGCACACTTCAAAGAAAACACGGAATCGACTTTTCTCAAAATATTATTTTAAATAGCAAAAAACTAGCAGATGGTGTTAGAGCCAAGTTTTCTTTTTGGTCAGAGTGGAAAATGCCTAGAGGCTCTGCACAGGTGAGGTTCAGGTGTTCTGGGCATTTTCCATGAACACCAGCCTGCCGTTTCATCTGGGAGGAGGAGGACTGAACCGCCAGCCACCATTACAATTGGCTTAAAGCTGTTGTAGACGTGTTTGTGGTGTTCACAGGTCTGGTTTTGTTAAAAGAACGGACCTTTATTCTTGTAGATGTTTTTACCTGTAGAGCTTCACTCATGCCTCTTCCAATGACCAGCAGCTCTATTCCCTTCTTCAGAACTTCTTCCACATCAGCCGGTTGCACCCCCGGGTAGTGCTAAGAGGAAAATAAAATTTTAAGGAGGCTTTTTCACCACTTCTAGCAGCGTACAGTTGTTCTGGTTTTCCTTACATTAGTCCCTGTCTCCCTCCAGTCCCAGGCCCGACTGCCTCCAGGCCAGACCTTACAGTCCTTGTAGCTGGAGGAGCATCCCTTCACCTTCATCAGGCCCCAGGAGAGGGAGGATATTTCAGGGGAGGACATGGATTTTCAAGGCTGAAGGGCAGCCAGGAGACAAGAGATTATTCTATTAAACGACGTGACTGACAAACAAACCTGTCTTACAATCAAAGAGGAAACATTTGCATTCAACCTCTGAATTTTAGGACTTTCCATGTTCTTCTGAAAGCAGCTGTTGAAGAAAAGCTGCGAATGCATAAAGTAACTCACACTTTGAGCAAATTAGAAAATAACCTTTAAAGTAGCGATGTTAAGCTCGAGTCATTCGACACAGCTCCCACCTTTATAAAACAGGTGTCTCGCTGAGAGGTGTTTCAAGCGCACCCCAATCATGTGACCGCTGCAAGCGAGGCCTCATTACATCACACAAAGCCAAACAAAAACAAGGAATCGTTGGGCTACTGTATAAAACCTCAAACTAAACACTATTCCTGACATTTAAATTGAAAAAGCTTCCTGGATGGGAAGCAAAACCTCTTCAAACTTGGAAACAAAGTCCAGTAGATTGTTTTTAATGTTCTAAGTTAAGAAACCACGAAACATAATAAAGAAGAAGAATAACAACACCACAACACCCCACAACAGCTATGAAGCAGAAGAACGGCTGATCATAATACAGCAACATAAGACAGAAAATATTTTCTTCTAAAAAATAATGAATAACAGACTATTATCAACAAAACAATTATGAAACAAAAAACGACAGGCGAAAAAAAACACACACAAGAAAAAACACAGAAAAATAGAGCTCACAGACACACACAACAGACCACAACACAAAAAAATAAAAAACAAGGAGAAAAGGGTGGAGAGTTGGCCAAAAGTGCCAAAAAGGGGCACAGAGATGCACAGTTTCGTAAGTGCCACCGCTATTTTAGAGAAAGGCGTTAAGGTAAGTAGAAAGATTACAAATAAACTATAGAAAGGTGTTAAGGTCAATAAGTAGAAAAAACAACTATAAACTATAGACATTACATTAAACATAGAAACTAAGAATAAAACAGCAATATGTCAGTAAAAATCCTTCCGAGTCACTTATGAATGATAAATCCATAATCCCATACCCTACAAAATCTACAACATTTTAAGAACAATAAAATCCATTTCTTATTTGTTTTTAACAGGTAGAGGGGGGTGCACCGTTCCTGGAAGTACTGCAATACCAGGTCGATGCGTGGAGTGGACGGAGCAAGCCCCTATTCCATCTCCCTGTTCCAAAAATCAATTTAATATATGGTCCCCGGGTAGGGGACGTATCAGATATTAAACTGATAAGAACAGATACTACACTTGATCTTAGCCAAAAGGCCGAGAAGCGATAACCTGAAATGGGTCTGAGGAAACAATATGAATCTACCACACCTCATTTTAAATCATGGTTCGAAACCATTTAGACACTTTAACTAATAAAACCAGCAGCAACGGCAAACGAGGACGATTACTAACAAACTACATTGTTTTGAAGCTCTAATTCCACGCTCATAAGCCACATTAGACTATAAAAGGACAACATAAGAAAAGCACGTCGGCTTATTTCTGGTCACATGTTCGGCTTTAAACCAATAGGAAGCCGAAAAGCAAAAACAAGTGAAAAAACCACCATTTTCCAAGACATACACTTTTATACTAAACTAGAAATGTTACTGTGTACAATCCTCTTCTTGTCTGTGTTTTAAGAGTTAGAATCGTTCATAGATTAGGATGAAAGCTTTGACGGCAAAAACACAACAACGGCTACACCAGCCTCTGGAGGACGAGAGACGTAACTGCAGTTATTACTGTCCTTTTCCTTCAGACACGTTTAACAAAACACCGATAGAAATGTAACAAATTAACCGAACAGTAAAAAAAACAACAACAACAAAAAAAAAAAACAAGAAAGAATCTGAGTTTTTGAACAATAGCAAAACTACAATTTAGGTTTACTTGTGACAGAATACCACATACAGAACTTCAATTAACCACTTTGACCAGCCAAATCATCCAGTTAGCGACACTGAATGCAAATCTTTTTTTTTTCTTTTTGGTCTAAATGAAAACGCTTTACTCACACACTGAATATAAAAAATACCAATAAAAATCAATGATTAGTATTTTATTGCAACTAAAGGGTATTTGGTAACGGGGTTTGCAGAAAAATGAATAAAAAGACGATACAGCCGAGGAAGAAAATAGCATGCGTCTGCAGACTGCTACGAGCAACTAATGCTATGATGCATTAGCAGAAAACAAAACGTAAACGAATTTTGTTGTTAAAACTTTTCACAAACTTCAAACCATGCTTCAACATCAACAAAAATACATAAAAAGTTTTTTTAAGAAAACTCACCAACGCCTCACTGTATCCTCAACTGGTCTTATTAAAGATGGCGACCAGTTCCCATCAGTCCAACTGGCTTTCATTAGGCGCAAAAATCCCAAAATTATAGTTCTTACATTTCTAATTAGTTTTTTCACACGTATGTTTTTTTTTAATGTACATAATGATTATTGATGACTTAAATGTAAATTTGCCTTATTTAGCTGAAAATGTATGTGCAACAATGGTGACCAGATTTCTGAAACCACATCTGGGGACATTCCTAGCTCACGTATAAAAAGAGAAATATCAAGATGAAATCAGGAAACTTAAATAGTAATGGTTTAATTTATTTTACATACTTATTAATATTGAAAGGACAAAAATCAAGAGTAAAAGCCTATTTTGCATACCCAAATGGAAAAGCAAATAACTTAGGAACTGTAATCCCAAATTACATGTGAGATACATTATGTGAAAGCTAACACCGTCTAGTTTCTGAATATATAAACTAAAATTGGGTGAGTAGAGCACAGACCAAGCTGCATCAGCTGAAACATGACTCAAAGTTGTTTTTTTAAATGTCTTATTTGAACAGCAGTAATAAAGCCATTCTGGAGAAAAAGCAGGTTTCATTGCATTGAATTTGCTCTACATGATGTCAACCACAAATGCAGAAAATTTCAGACCTCTTAAGGCCTAAAAACATTTTCAGCAAAGCTTTTGGTCCCCTTTAGAAGTTTTCCCTTCTTAAAAATCTTTTTCATGCTTTCTCTTTTTACCTGTAGTTCGAGATCTTTTGATGGAAAGTGCAGTATAAATTGTTCTAAACATTTAGATTTGGTCTTGAAAACAGATTTTTCTGCTCTGAAATGTGTCTGCTGGAATGCAGTGAAAAGTAACTCTCCATATACCATGGCAACAGCTTGCCGTAAAACATGTGAAACTGCAAAAAAAAAAAAAAAAAAAACCTTCCATGATCAATGCCATTCATTTACTTTAGTTCAGTCAACCGTTTAGCCACACAACTCTAAAACCCAATTACAACGGTAAAATTACCATTTTAAGACTTCTCACGCATTTAGAACGACACGTTTTAAAGGAAAATGTCCCACTGTTCCTTAATTTATGAAATCAGCCACATTAGTTTCCCATAAATAATTATAGCCACAGGAAGGTCTCTGTGTGGTAATCTTGATGTTCTTGGCATCCAATGCTGATCTAAATAGAGGTTTAAAAACTTTACATCGAGCACTCTGGTTTTGAACCACAGAGCGGAACCAAGCAGCGGAATGCAGACACCCTGAAAATAATCTACAAACTCGTGTCCTAAACTCACCTTTTAATGCTCTGTGAAGTTGTGGTTAAGAGGAACACCTTCGTAAAAACATCCAGTTGTAAACAACCCCAAGTTAAATCCCCAATTAGCCTGGTTTCCTTATCTTTAAGAGCAACATGGCCATCTGCTCTATTTGTGGAGAGCCTGCGCCCCCTTGTGGACGGAGGGGGAACTAACAAAGGCAACTGTTCCCAGTTTCCTCCAATTGTCTACCAAATAAGGGACATGTACAGCATTAGCGTAAACTCCATTTAGTTGCACTTGTTAAACTGCACTTTCCTTTACAAGCCAAGTCAAATATCTTTATAGGATTTAACATTGTTAATTAAACCATGTGGTTCAAGTTCATATTGCTCATGGCGTACCACATGGAACAAACATCCCTAAATTCCAACATATAGTATTGCTTTAACTGTAAGGATGAGACATCCACAATTAGCTTCCAGTTTCACTTTTAAACTCAAAAGCAAGAAAACACATGAAAAATAATTACAAAATGAGAACAGAATAGGCTTTAGAATTTTATTAGTTATGGTACAGGAAAGGATAACCCCTATAAAATCAAGTTTACAAAAAATGTTTCATCATTTGATTCTGAAATTAAAACTGAACATTTGAGCACCAACATCCATCAGCTGGTCAGCATCTGTCTCAGTCTGCATCTGAAATATAAACAGAAAGTTCAGCATTTAGACAGACAATTGTACTGTTGATATAACACTTTAGGACAGTTAATTCACTTTTACATGTTCCCAATAGGTTCTCTACAAACACTGCTGCAGAGGCGTACTGGGATGGTTTAATTTCTGGTCAAGTCCACAGCAAAGCAGGAAGATGAGATCCTGAAAGCCTTGGTATATGACCAAACATACAGAAAAGCTTCACATTCTACTTTTAAACACCAAACATAAAAACAGTTTATGAAAAAAAAAAAAAAAAAAATCTACTTTTGCATACAAGGTAAAGACTTAATTTAGGAAATGGGGATAAATCAATAGGGGGATATAGTCATTAGATTTCAGGTGAAAAACTGACCTCAGATGCAGACGAAGAGTCACCATGCATCAGTCTCAGGCAATCTGCTTCAGCTGGACCCTGGAAAAACACAAATACACCCACTGTCAGAAAAATAAATCTTTTTTTTTTAATCTGTCCTTTTCCAGACAGCTTGTTTCAGACATTATACCAGGACTCCAAACATGAGCAGCAGGGAGACCAACAATGCCTTATGCTGAATTTCTCTTGCACAGTCATTTAAACAGCCAGCTGATGAAACATGCTGGCTGCAGATACCACAGTGCTGAAGAAATCTTCCCAACCAACACATACAATAAAAAAAAAAAAAAAAAAAATCTCACCTTAACACCCCAAGCTTCTACGACTCAGGCAGCTGCTACATCCAAATGCTGAACAGGAAAAAGCACAATTCATTAAACTCTGTTTGGTTATAAGAACAAATCCATGGCAAAGTGATCCACCCATTAAGCAAAAACCTCTGAAGTCTTTATTGGCCATCAGAGATGAACGTGTCTCAGCTAAAATACCAGGACTCCACACACAGGCAGCATAGAGACCAACGATGCCAGAAGCTGAGCTACTTTAGCACTGACTTTTGAACATACCAGCTGGTGAAGCAGCTGGCTGCAGATACCACACAGTGCTTCAGTTTAAAATCCACTTTGACCAATTTCTACATACCAAGTCATCCTGGCACCACGATGCAGACCAAGTAGCACTCTGAAGTTGGACATGTTTATCTGACAGCAAGCAGATATGCGATCTGAAAAAAAATTCAGAAAAAAGAAGAAAATTGGGAAGGCCTTTTATTAACTGAAGCTCATAGCCGATGCTGGGAAAATAAGCCAATGAATACAGCTCAATACAGGCAGGTGTTTGCAGCTGTATCCCATAATGCTCACAGCAGAGAACACTTGGGTAAAGCATAGCTACAGATTTGCTCTTTGAGGCATTTCCAACGACAAGGCCCCACTGTGAGGGGTCCATCGGGATAGACCTCAGAACCCAGACAGAGACATCAAGGAACAGAAATTCACATAGACGTTAAAAGGAACTGACCGATTTCAGAGCCACTAACCAGCCTAAAAAGTAGGACTGCAACCAATGATTATTTTGCTAATTGATTAATCTGTTGATTATGTTACAGATTAATAATCTGATGGCCAAAGGTACATAAAGATGTTCTGTGAAATTAAACCAATGGAAACTAAAATGTTTCCACTTGAGAAGCTCTGGATAGAGCATATTGATAGAAGATCTTAAATTCAAAATGTTTATATATTTTACAATATCAGTATAATTACTGCTCTAAGTGGGTTGCTCTTTCAGCTAAAGACACGTTTTAGAGTCGCTATACTACAATTAATAGTTAATGATTATTTCACAATTAATCCAATTAATTGTTTGAGCCCAATTAAAAAGCAACAAGCAGATTAAGCTTCATAACATTCCCTCAATTTATAATGCTGGGTTTTATTTTAATCACTCACCAATCAGATTCAGTCTGCTGTACTATGGATGCAACTACTAATCGAATGAACTTTTTCCCCGTGATCAAATTGTGAGGTTCGGGCTTTTTTTCGGTTTTTAACAGAACCTAGTGAGTCTTACAGTCACTGTAGCATTCCTGAAAAGTTTACTCATTTACAACCTGAGCCCCAAATCTCTGAATGTACTTTTTTTTTTTTTTACTACTCACCTCACATCAGTGAATCAAGATGGCTGAACCTGCATGGAGCAGAAGGAGGATTAATGTGACAAAGCAGCACAGTGCAACAGCATTTCCAGTTTTCCCTCCAAAAGGTTCAGTAAGGCTGCTGTCATTCACACTTCAGAGCAGTTGAACATATCAAGCCATTCATCATTACTCAGAAACTTTGTCTGCTTTATAAACAGGGCTTACCCAGGAGTTGTGAGGTCATCCAGGGCACCTATTGAAAAGAGAAATTACTCTGTTTCTTTTGGATTCATCTAAACAAAAAGAAAGAGCTCAGAGTTGTAACTTCTCATTAGTAACACTGCTGCGGAAGATTGACAGCAGTGGGTTGCAAGAGAAATGGTTCCTTTGTGCACCGTATGACCTCTACAGCCCACCGTACAGGACTAGAGCTCACACTGTGCTTTATGCAAGCTGGATCTAATGTTAAATACAAACTTATCCCTAGAGTGCCACAGTGGGGCTGTAATCTAGAGTTTAAGCTTTTAAAAGAACGAATTAGTAGACAATACAACCAATTACATACCAGATCTCCAAATAGTTCACCACCAAGTGACAGGGTGATTTATTGGCATGATGGTCCAGTTCTGGTTTATTCCCTATAAGAGGAAAAACAAAAATAGTTTATTTTTTTGCATTGGTTCTAGTGTGCTTGTACACATTTTAAATATCAATGTTGTATTTTAGTAAGACTTTAAAGCAGTTTTAAAACAGAAACAATGGAATCCATGAATAATTACTGTCTCAGGCCTCATTGTCACTTTTCTGCAACCAATACTGCAGATGTGAAAGCAAAACCTGACATTTCTCTCACCACTGCTGCCCTGGAATTGGTCCACAGAGCTGGAGAATCCCAGATGAACAAGAGCAGGATGTGGTTAACGGGGAAACCTACTGACCGCCATATATTAGGGTTTTCAGTCTAAAGAAATCTTTGGTTTGCATCAATATGCTCAGTGCTCATTTATATTATTTTGGACACACTGTTTTATCCACTAGGATTAGAATTTGACAAACTGATCCCCATAATAACGTATTAAGATAATGTTTCTTAATCGGGGATGATTATTAGTCAATCGTGTCTTTAAGCACTGATGGAAAATATTAATTTTAAACGGTTAGATCCGGGTTTCGATCCGCAGCCTGGCCACGTGTTATCCTGGAAATAAAACATTTTAAAGTAGGGGCTAGAAATTATTACAGCTTTAAACAAGGCACATAATGATTCCTTATAACACAATTCGGAGTTATTTCGAAGATTGCGGCCCTAAAAACGAGCCTAAAAGAAAATCAGACCATGATTAGCTGTGAGCAGCTAGCTCCCTAATGCTAACTGTGCTAACTATAGGAAGTCAAAGACAAAAAACATTTTTCACAATGCCTCGAATGTGTATTTATTTCGAGTGCTCTTAACATTAGCGGATCTGGGTCTCTCTTTTTACATCGAGTATAAAATGTAGATTAAAACTCACCCATTGCAAATACTTCCACCGTCAGCTTCAGCGGGCGAAGAAAAGAGACCCTGCAAAGTTCGACAGGAATATTTAAGGACTGCGTTACGTCAGTTGAAGTCGATTTTCGACAGTAACGTAAAGGGAGGATGATTTTTTTTTGTGTGTGTGTGTGCAAAAATTACAAAGTAGAAAACAGATAGACCTAAATGTACATCTTTATCCAGTTTATACTTTTGAATTACTGTTAAGCGTCATATTTGTATATATATATATATATATATATA